GCCCCCCCTCTCCCACACGACGCCCTTCAGTCCCCGTTCCGTCACCGGCGGCGCCATCTTCCCAACACTAGGGGAAGCAGCCACCGCCTCCCACTCCCGACCTACTTTGGCCAGGGAAGCAGCGCGGGATAGCCCTGCCCTTCGCTGAACGGAAAGCCCCGCCCCCTCCCGAGGACCGCGCCCTCCGGTGACATCACGCGCGTCAGCTAGGGGATTACCGCCCACCCTTGGACCGCGACTGCGCAGTGCGGGTGGACTCGCCATCGGCAGTCGGGCGGCCCCTAGCGGAAGGGTGCGCTCACACAGGAATCGGGAAGATGGGCCAACCCGCTGGCCGGGTGCGTGCATACCTGTAAAATCCCACATTTCTGCATTCTTGAGGGAGGAGGAACTTTCGCTCTACAAAAGGATTCTTCGCTTTGCGAAGCGATTCATAACTTCACCCAGTAGCCAGCTCAACTATCTAATGGGAAATTTGTTTCCCACAAATGTTTATTTTGTTCACTTTTCGGCTTCTCGTCCCACAAGAGCAGTAATTCCGTGAGGTGATGGATGTTAATGTACTCCGCTACAGTAGTTCTTTTTCCTATCTATATGTATCTTATGACATCAGGTTGTACGTCTCAATTGTACACAAAATTTATTTTTAAAAAATCGTTGGGACTAGCAGGTAGTATAATGGCTAAGGCGCTGAACTCCCACATAGAGGACTGTAGTTAGAGTCCCAAACCCGGCAGCTTGAAACATTCTGAGCTGTATGTGCATGCCCCAAATCCAATTTCTCACCTTCTGTCTCTCTGTCCAGTGGACACACATGCCCTATAGCAAAAATTTCTCAGAAAAATTAAAATGTTAAGGATCAGCCAGTGGCATGGTGGTTCAAAGATGCCAGATCCCATATGGGCAACTGAGCACTTCAAATCCTGGACCTGGCAGCTTGAAAAAACATTCCTGGTATATGTGCATGCCCTAAGTCCAGAAAGGTGAGAGAAATGGAGGAGAAGAGATCGCAGGGTGGCTATTCCCCTTGGGAGCTGCTTTCTCTCCCTCCCTCTCTCTCTCTCTCTCTCTCTCTCTGTCTCTCTCCAGTGAGCACGTGTCTTCTGGCAATTTATTTTTTTTTAATTAAGAAAAATAGGGACCAGCAGATGGCGTAACAATTATGTCCCTAGACTCCCATATAGGCAACCCCAGTTTGAGTCGCAGACTTGGAGGCTTGAAACTCATGCGAGGTGGGGCCAGCAGTTAGCATAGTGGCTATGTTGCTGGACTTACATGTAGTCTACCAGGGTTTGAGTCCCAGACCCGGTGGCTTAGACTCATGCCAGGCACATGTGCGTGCATGCCCAAGTATTCCAAGGGCAGAACAGAGGAGAAGGAATTGCAGCGTGGCCATCCCCCCTGGGCGGTGATGTCTCGCTTCCTGTCTCTCTGTCTCTCTTTCTTTCTGGCGAGTGCATGTGCCCTACAGAAAAGAATCTCTAAAAAAAAGAAAGAAAGAAACTCATGCCAGGTGCATGTGTGTACATGCCCAAAATCCCAAAAGAAAAATGGAGAAGGGATTGAGGGCCTGGCCATCCTCCCTGAGGGGGTGATTTTCTCACTTTTTGTCTCTCTGTCTCTCTCTCTCTCTCCTGCAAGCACACATGCCCTACAGCAAAAATCTTCCTTAAAAATTTTTTTTCTCAAATAAGTTAGTTTATACTTATTTTTGGTACAAGGAGTAATGAAGGGAGAAAAAAATGTTTCAAAAAAAAAAAACTATAGTGCAATTGTTACTAGATTTTAGCTTTATGCATTTTTTCCCCTTAGTTTTTAGTATCTACCTACTGTTTGGACAGAATCCTAACCTGGTTCCTAGCTTTTAGTCTTAAGCAAATTTTTTAAACTTTTTTTTTGGAGAGGTTTTTTGCTATAGGGCGTGTGTGCTTGCCAGACAAGCAGAGAGAGACAGAGACAGAAAGTGAGAAATCACCCCCTGGGGGGGATGGCCATGCCACAATTCCTTCTCCTCCATTCTCCTCTCGGAATTTTGGGCACGCATGCACACGTGCCTGGCGTGAGTTTTAAGCCACCCAGTCCGGGATGTGAACCGCGGTCAATTATGTGGGAGTCCAATGACATAGCCATTACACTGACTGCTGGTCCCTTAACTTTTTTTTTAAATCTTGATTCATTAAAGCTAAAATTGCTTTTCTTGAAATTAAAAAATAATAATAATAGCAAACTAAAGAGTGCAGGAGAAGGGTGGGCAATGGGGGGGTGAGGAAAACAAGGGGGGAAAGGAGAGGAACATTTAATGGACACAAAAGTGCAGAGTTTTCTGCTGATAATAATGTGTATGATAATATCTTTGACTGGGCCAATATGCAGTGTATTCAAGGTGGCAAAATTTATTTTGTATGCTGTAAAAATGTACAGTGATTTAAAATAATAATTTTTAAAATTAAGAAAAATAACAGATTACTGTTAAAAATTGTCAAAGCTGACTTGTGGAAAGATTCCCATTAGGGCCCAGAGACCTACCTGCCCATGATCCAGGCTGGGCTAAAGCTGGGGGTGGATTGTGGAGTCAGGACCCTGATGGGTGTGTACTCTCTCACACTCACAGGCATAGAAGAAATAATGAATTAAAGACAAAATGTTGATTACAGAGAAGGTAACTTCAGGTCACACTTAGAAAGTTTAGGCAGAGATTTGTTTATTGAGAGAGTTTTTTTAAGGACTTGAAATCAAAGTAACCAATCATGGGACCAGCAGGTGGCATAATGGTTACATCGCTGGACTCCTATGTAGTCCACAGCAGTTCGAGTCCTGGATCTGGCAGCTTAAAACTCACACCGGACACGATCGTGTGTATGCCCAAGCTCCAGAGAGGAGACTGGAGGAAAAGGGGTTGTGGCATGACCTTCCCCCTGGGGGATGATTTCTCACTTTCTGTCACTCTGTCTCTCCTGAGAGCACTCATGCACTATAGCAAAAATCTCTCTGCTCAATAAAAAGCAACAAAGTAACCAATCATCAATAAGATTGGTTTAATTGCTGAGAGCCCTGTGTCAACCATTTTATACACACACACACACACACACACACTCTTTTTAAAAAATAATTATTTATTTAATTTTATTTATTAATTCATTTATTTTAATTTGACCAGACACACACACACACACACACACAGAGAAGGAGAGAGAGAGAGAGTGAGACAGCAGGTCACCAGGTCCGGGACTCAAACCATGGTCAGCCGTGTGGGAGTGTCCAGTGCCTTAATCACCACACCACCTGCTGGTCCCTCATTTTTTTCTTTTTGTTATAGGGCATGTGTGCTTGCTGTAGAGAGGCAGAGAAGGGAGAAAAGAGAGAGAGCACCCTCAGGGGGGTGGCCATGCCATAATCCCTTCTCCTCCATTTCTCCCTCCTTTTGGGATTTTGAGCAGGTGCACACATGTACCCGCTGTGTTTTTCAAGCTGCGGATTCCAGAACTTGAACCGTGCAATTGGCCTCGTGAGATCTAGCTACCTTAGCCACTATACCACTTGCTGACTCTACCTTGTACATGTGTTTTAAATTTTTATTTATTTTCTTTAGTCATGATAGAGCATACGTGCACATGTAAGAGAAAGAGAGAAAGAGAGGACCCTCCGAAGGGTTTGGTGTCACTGCAATCCGCTTCCTCAAGTTCTCCAGCCCATTAGATTTTGGGCATTTGGCACCTCCCTGGCTTGTTTCTGGCTGACCAGGCTGGGGATTCAAGCCACGGTCACCACGTGGGATCTGACTCCTCTTAAATAGCACGTTATAACATTACTGCCTTACATGATATAACCACTATATGCATTGGCAGACAGTAGGCTTTTGAAGAAGGATTGGCAAAGACTCAGAGGTTCTAAAGATTCAGATTGATCACATTGGGAAGCAGAAATGGTTAGTCACTACTACTAATCATATTGTCTAACATTTACTGAATACTGACTATGTGCCAGGCACTTTGCTAAGTGTATTATTTCACTGATCCTAAAGGAATCCTGAAGCTTAGTGAAATTAAGTAACTTGGCAAGCTTGCACAGCTAGTGGTAGAGTGGGAACAATCATCAGGTTTGGGCTACATGGAAAACAACAGAGCAGTCTGTGGGATAACCTGCAATTTTTAGGACCAAAGGAAAAGGAAGAGATTAAGTGCCATAAAATGGCTTTGGTCACAACCTATGGCATGAATGGGTTTTCTGAAAGGCTGGTATGAGACTGGAAGCTGGAGTCCTGGCCTCATTTTAAACTACGCTAAGTGTACTGAGTTGCCCAGAATTCTAAACAAATGCACATATTATTTCCCTCTCCCTTTTCAATGTTATTTTACTTATTTCTTGAGCGAGAGCAAAGGAAGGAGAGAGACCTAAATAGAGTCCACCCTAAATAGAGTCTGATCACGCTGTGATCCCCCGGCCTCCAGCTAGTCAGGATCTTGAGTGTGCATGCCTCGTGTGTTTCTGATCCACTTGGGATCTGAACCTGTAAGTCACATGGCTTCCAACACTGCAGTCCAGTAAGCTACTACCTGTATCACTGAGGCTGGACCTTTTTTCAATTTAAACCAGGTTCTGCTTAGTACAACAAGGTGAAGCCTCAATCTATAGAAAAACATAGACTCGTCTTTCTGATGTGGAGCCCATTGCCCTGTAGGGTTAAACTATGACGGAGAATAAGATGGGTGAGGTGCCTCCATTTCTTACCCTTGAGTAGAATGACGTTGGGAGTTTGACTTTGATCTCATGAGCTGCATTACAACTCTTGTTCCTAAAGGTCAGATTCCAGGGTCACAGCATTGGAATAGTGGAGTAAGCATAGGCAATCTTCATTGCCACTTTCTTTCTTTCTTTCTTTCTTGCTTTCTTGCTTTCTTGCTTTCTTCTGTTTCTTTCTTTCTTTCTTTCTTTCTTTCTTTCTTTCTTTCTTTCTCTCTTTCTTTCTTTCTTTTTTTTTTTTGCTACAGGGCACGTACGCTAGCCAGAAAGACAGAGACAAAGAGACAGAAAGTGAGAAATCACCCCCCAGGGGGGATGGCCATGCCACAATCCCTTCTCCTCCATTCTCTTCTCGAGATCTTGGGCACATGCACACACATGCCCGGCACGAGTTGAAGTGACCAGGTCCGACACTTGATCCATGATCGACTACATGAGAGTCCAGCGACATAGCCATTACGCTAACTGCTGATACCTTCATTACCATTTTCAAAAAAAGAAAATTGAGGCTCAGAGATTAAAGAAATTACGCAAAATCTTGGGACCAGCAGATGGCATAATGGTTATGTCACTGGACTCCCACATGGTTGACCGTGGTTCACGTCCCAGACCCATGGGGGATGATTTCTCACTTTCCCTCTCTATCTCACTCACTTCGGTGCACACACACACCCTATAGCAAAAACTAAAAACAACAACAAATGAAAAAGAAAAAATAAAACAAAAAATAAAACCCTGACGGCTAAATGAGTATACAAGTCCTTGAGTTAGAGCAGATCGCTTACTCTCTATTTCCAGGTTGTCCTTACTGATAATTGATGACTTAAGCATGATAATCTAAAAAATATGTTACATAAAGGTATCATTGATTATGGGGGCCGGATGGTGACACAGTAGGAAAACACAATGCTCTGTGAGGCTGACCCATGTGGGAGGGCTCCTGGATCGCACACAGAGACCTCCCTGAGTACACCGAGCATTCCCATGCGTGCCCATGATCTGGGGCAGGCTGAGGGTGGGGTAGATCTCAATGCTGGGACCTTGTTGAGGATGCTCTGTTCTTACTCTGTTTCTCTCTTTATCTCTCTCACCCTCTGATTCATGGAAGAGATAACTAAATAGACATTTTGGAGTCAGCAGGTGGTGTAGTGGTTTTAGCACTGGACTCCCACATGGTTGACCATGGTTCAAGTCTCAGACTTGGTGGCTGGAAACTTATGCTGGGCATGTGTACATGTGTGCCAAAGATCTTGGGAGGAGGATGGAGGGGAAGGGACTGTGGCATGGCCATCCCCCCAAAGGGTGATTTTTCACTTTCCAATTCTGACTCTCCGGCAAGTGCACACACCCTATGGCAAAAATCTCTCTAAAAATAAAATAAAATAATCAATAGGCTTTTTAAAAAGATAGCACAGATTAATAGTTCTAATCAATGCTAATTACTTACTTTGCTCCCTGAAAATTCTTGCTTGAACTGGTTAGCCATGTGACTGTAGGGGAGCTACTTGACCATTTTGAGCCTCTTTTTACATTTAGATAAAGGGGACAACATTATTACCTTGCTTGTGGGGTTACTGTAAGAATGAAATGAGTACGCAGAAAGCACTTAGAAACCCATGTGCTGTATTCATGTTAAATAAAGTGATTTTATCTATACCCAGTGTGGGTATAATTATATACATTATCTTCTATGGAATTCTAAGGCAGTTCAGCCTTCGATAGCCTAGCTAAAATGGACTCTGTGCCCTGTGGTTTGCAGGGCATTAAGGAAATGATCCCAGCCTCTGGGTCTCTGGGATCTAGGCCTTCCATTTGGCCTTTGCCCTGGGCTCTTTGATTGTTCCAATCAGCCACGGGCACGGGCCTACTCAGAGGGCACACCCTGCCAGCCACCAGGCTCAGCACATAGTCTTTCACAGGCTTTGGACCACAGAACCCGGTCCAATCTATACCATCATGGCTGCTGTCAGGGCTCAGACCTGCTCTGGGCCCCTCAGATCTCACCAATCTTTCATTGCAGACCACAGAGCTTAGATCTCTATCAGCCTCTCACCACTGAAGTTTTCTTCCCAGGAGAAGCGCACCTATGCAAGCCCTTTAAGGTTCCCATACTGGGCCACACGTCAGAATTACTGGGTGAGCTTGTTAAAACTACAGACTCCCAGGTCTGGTTGCAGACCTACTGAAATTGAATCTCCAGCAATTATACCTGAGAATCGATATAAGAAATACGCTCCCCCAGAAAAGCCCAGGTCCCCAGCTCAAGTCCTGTTCATTCACTGGGGTTCAGGAATAAAAGTAAACTAAATGCAGCCCTCCTCTGTATGTGTTCTTTTTCTTCATTTTGAAAAGAATTATTTATTTTATTTTATTTAACATTATTATCAGACTGTAAATTTGCAATAGGGAGAACACACTTACTAGAGAAGACAGAGAGAGAGAGAAAGTGAGAAAGCAGTCCACCAGGTCCAAGACTTGAACTGCAGTTAGTCAAATGGGAGTCCAGCACATCTACCACCAGACTACCTGCTACTCCCCTCCCCCCGCCTTTTTTTAGGCTTTTGCCATAGGGCTTGTGTGCTCACCAGAGAGAGACAGACAGCGTCAGAGAGAGAAAAAGTGAGAAACCACCCCCCAGGGGGGATAGCCAGGCCACAATCCCTTCTCCTTCATTCTCCTCTAGGAATTTTGGACACACATGCATGCCCCCCACGTGATTTTCAGGCTGCTGGGTCTGGGACTCAAACCACAGTTGACCATGCAGAAGTCTAATGTATTAACCACTACACCACCTGCTGGTGTGCTCTTTGATGCATCAAACCTCATTTCTAGAGATCGAAGGCTTTGGCTTGTCTTCTTTCCAAGAGCTCTTATCAGTGACACATTGTGTACCTCTGGGTCAGTCTTCCAGAGAAAGCATACCACTTTCTCTCTTGCAGCGTATTTTGATAGGAGGTTACCACAAAATATGAAAAAGAAAGATTGGCAAATTTGTCCTCCCTCCTCCCGCTCACCTCAAGCCTAACTCTACACTCCAATTCCCTCTGAGCAGTGTTATGGCTGTTCCTAACTGTCCACACTTGGCTGCATAGCCATGCTGTTGAGGAGTAGGCACTGTAGCTCTATGTGTGTGTGTGTGCGTGCGTGTGTGTGTGTATGTGTTACACAACCCCCATTATTTTTTAATAGGGCTACTGGTATTAGAAGGACAAACATTTTTCCAGGTACAACAGATTTCTGTTATGTATCATTGCCTTTCCTCTTCAAAGATGAAAAAAGTTACCAAGTGACTGATGGACATAGCCAATGAGGTGGACGGTCTTCCCGTGACAAGCTGCACGTATGTCAACCTGCCACGTCCGAGGCTTTGTCCTTGGCTGTCACTGCATTCTACATCTTTGCTCACTCACAAAACATGACAACAAGACTTCCAGCAACAAGCCAGCACCTCTGCTTTCCCAGACGCTCCAGTGGAAGTCGCATCACTCGACACTTCGGCTCGGAGACCCTGCCAGCAGCTCCGCTTCCCTCCTCGTGTGAGATGAGGGTGTTGGTGACTGCAGGTTGCCTGGAGCTCCCGCGATCCCACCCATGCTGAAGGCCTGGTGGAGACCTGTCTTGGGTCGAGTGTTGTCTCTGTGCGGGTGGCTTGACCCTGAATGGCTCGGGGGCTGAGTGGCACCTGCTACTATGGGTGAAAGCCTCATGAAGTGGTATGTTCGAGTCTGTGGTGGGTCTGGATGTAAAATCTCAGGGAGGATTTCTGCTACGCAGACCTAGACCTGCATGTTTCCAGGAAGCATGGTGCACTGGCTCTCTCTGGCAGTGTTCCAGAAGAATTTCTGGATCCATTTCTCAATAGCATCCTCTCCACGGCAGATCTTAAACTCCCATGCAGGTAGGGACCCCTGACCTTGTCCTCAGAAAATGAATCAGAGTTGTTCTTCTAAAGGCCAAAGGAACTCTTCCTATCTTGGAGGCATTTGTATTCTAATAGGTCTCTTTCTTCTCTAATCACTAAGAATCTGAGAGATCCTGCAAAAAAAAAAAAAAAAAAAAAGAAAAAAAAAAAAAAAAAAAAGAGAGAGAGAGAAGGATTTTGAAAACAAAGACAAAACTTGGAGGAGGGATGGAAGTATGTGTTTTGGGGGGGCACAAAAAATCTATTTACATTACTCACTCTGTTTTTAGGAAGTTTCCTGTGTTATTCTGCATTTCTCTTCCCTCTGTAAATCACTGCAAAGGGTAAGGAAGGGAAAAGGCAGACACACATTAAATATGTGGACATTTTCTTAAACCCAATAGCACACATATCACTGGATTTTTATTAGTATTTTTATTTAAAATGCTATTTTTGCAGCACTTCACGTCAAGTAAGCAGGGAGCTAAGATACTCTGAACTGTTCAAAGGGCAAGCTGTTCAATCAGACTAGCATTGCTGAGTAACCAGGATGGTCTCCCTCCTGTGTCATGGAATGAATCCTCCCAGGAGCTCAGGCTACTGATCCAATCAGACTAGCATTGCTGAGTAACCAGGATAGTCTCCCTCCTGTGTCATGGAATGAATACTACCAGGAGCTCAGGCTACTGATCCAGGCCAAAAACCTTTTTTCTCAAACTTTAGGCTAACTTGCTACGTTCCTTGGGGAGCTTCAAAATTTTACTGATTTAGGGAATTGTGTACGGAGAACATAAACCTGTTCAATTGCCAAGGAAGCTGCAGGAAACTTTCTAAAAAGTTCCGTGGGATGAACAGGTGACACCAAAACAAGCTGGATGTCGAAGAAAAGTGGGTGCCCCGTGGAAGGACGTCAGGCACTGACCCCTCCAGCCTATCTGAGAGCTCTGCCACCTGAAGTAGATAGTTTTCCTTTCCCTCCCAACTACATCAAATGCCCAGTATCAAAGGCACTTTCACAAATGAGAGCGGCAATTCTCAAATGCTAGCATGCATCAGAGTAACTTGAAGGGCTTATTGAAACAAAGATGGCTGGACTCCATCCCCAGAAATCTTGATTTGGTAGGTCCGTAGTGAAGGTCCAGAAATTGCATTTCTTTCTTTTTTCTTTTTTTGAGAGAGATTTTTTTGCTAAGGGCATGTGTGGTCACCAGAGAAACAGTCAGACAGACAGAAGCAAGAAATCACCCCTCGGGGGATGGTCACCCACAATCTCTTCTCCTCCAGTCTCCTCTCAGAATTTTGGCCACACGTGTCCACGTGCCCAGTGTGAGTTTCAAGTCAATGGGTCCAGGACTCAAACTGCAGTCGGTCATGTGGTAATCCAGCTCCTTAACGACTACACCACCTGCTGGCACCAGCATTTATATTTTAAAAGAGTGGAACATATAAAGAGTTGTATTTGTTAACATGAACTCTAATTTTTCTAAGTAACAAAAAACAAATATTGGTCTTAATGGTCGGTGTGTTCTCTAGAGTATCTGCTGTGTATTAGGGGTGACTTCTAAAGAAGCAATTCATACAATCACATTAATAACATCTAAAAGTAACTGGTGTCTGTAATGGGAAAGAGAAAGTGAGAAAGCCAGCCACCAGGTCCGGGACTCGGACCAAGGTTGCCATGTGGGAGTCCAGCACCCTTAACCACCATACCACATTCAGGCCCCAGCCCATATTATATTTTATGAGGTGATTATTACTTGTCTCAATTTTCAGATGAGGTTTAGAGAGAATTAATACGAGTTGACTAACAGTGAAGGATTTAAATCCAGATCTATCACTTTAAAAATCCATTTGGGGAACCAGATGGCATAATGGTTATGTCACTGGACTCCCACGTAGCTGACTGTGGTTCAAGTCCCAGACCCGATGGCTGAAACTCACCCCAGGAGCATGTGCATACATGCCCAAGATCCCAAGCGGAGAATGGAGGAGAAGGAATTGTGGCATGGACATCACCACCCCGGGGAGGGGGGGATTTTTCACTTTCTGTATTTCTGTCTTTTGGCAAGTGCATACACCCTATAGCAAAAATCTCTCTTAAAAAAAGAAAAATTCCATTTAGGGCCACCCCCTGGCCTAGTGGTTTAAGGGAGCCAGATCCCACGTGGCTGACCGTGTGTTTCAAATCTTGGACCTACTGGATTGAAAAGTACACTCACTATGTGTGAGTGCATGCTCAAAACAGATAGAGAAATCAAGAAGAGATTACGGTATAAACATGCTTCATTGGAAAATGCTTTCTCCTGCTCTTTCTCTGCCTCTAACAAGCACACATGCCATCTGGCACATTAGAGAGCAAGAGAGAGAGAGAGTTCTTTTTTCTTTTTTAAATAATTATTTATTGGGGACCAACAGATGACATGGTGGTTGGGGCACTGGACGCTTCCACATGGCTGACCATGGTTTTGAGCCCCGGACCTGGTGGCTTGCTTTCTCACTTTCTCTCTCTCTCTGGTCAAATTAAAATGAATGAATGAATAAATAAATAAAATTAAATACATAGTTTTTAAAGAATATATTTATTCATTCATTCATTTTAGTTTGACCAGAGAAAGAAAGGCCACAGAGAGAAAGAAAGTGTATCCAGAGGCTCATGTCAGCCAGGGTCCTGGTTTGACTTGTTCTATGTACAGGAGGAGATATGCTGAAATTAGACACAGCGATTAGAATTTAATGCATTCCATATGATTGTAACGGCCTTCTAGATATAATGGATATATCCTTCAAGGATCTACTTCAAGAAAGGGGCAGATTTTTGGCTGAAGACTAAGCCTTGCTAAGGAAGGGAGAAGTAGGATAAATTGCAGCCTCGAGGGACAGAAGGAGGGATAGCAGTGACCTACAGCAGCAAACTATGTACCAGAATCACTGGGAGGGCTCAGGGGACGGGCCAGGGGCCCAGAGTTGTGGCAATGCTCTTTGAGGCTAACCAGCATGGGAAAGGTCCAGGTTTGTGTCCCGAGAACTCCCTGAACAAGCCAGAGCACCGTGTCCATTATCTGGGGCTGGCAGAGCTGGGGTGGATTGTGGAAGTAAGATCCTACAGAGAGTGTCTGTCTTCTCTGTCTTGCTCATAAAAGAAGTATAAAAAAATAAATAAATGAACCCTGAAAATAAAAAGAAATTTAAAAACATTCTAATGGGATAGGAAGGGTCTAGGACTCTGCATTCTTGGTTAACTCTCAAGGAAATTCTGAAACACACCAAAGTTTGAAAACTACCACCTAAGCAGTGCTTCTCACACCTGAATACACATATGAATCACCTGGGAATTTAGTAGGTCAGGATAGGGCCTGAGACGGATTCTTTTTTTTATCCTTAAGGTTTTTGCCATAGGACATGCACACTCACCAGAGAGAGACAGAGAGAGAGACAGTGAGAGGGAACGTGAGAAATCACCCCCTGGGGGAATGGCCATGCTGCAATCCCGTCTCCATTTTCCTCCCGAGATTTTGGGCACGCATGCTCCTGCTGTGATTTTCAAGCCGTCAGGTCCGTATCCCAAACCTGGTGGGCGTGTGGGAGTCCAGCATCTTACTACTGTGCCACCTGTCCATCTCTGAGATTGATTCTTTGTTGCAGGCTCTCTGATGATGCTGATGAATAGCAGGGTCTAAGAGAAGTGGTTTTCATGCTTTTTAATTTTTTTAAAAAGCATTGTAACTCTTTTGTTAAACAAAATCTTAGAGAAAGTCAAGGTATAAAACACCATTCCTAGAGCCAGCAGGTGGCTTGGCGGTAAAGGTGTTAGATCCCACATGGCCAGCTGCTCTGTTCAAATCCTAGACCCAGTGGCTTGAAAAACACATTTGTGTGCGTATCCAAAGTCCTCAGAGGAGAATGGAGGAAAAGGGATTCGGGTGTGGCCATCTTCCCCCCATTCTGGGGCAGGGGAATGATTTCTCACCTTCCCTTTCTCTTTCTCTCTTGTTCTCTGTTTTCTGGTGAGGACATGCTTCCTATAGTGAAAACTTTAAAAAAAAAATCAGAAAACAAAAAACATAAACAATTCTCTCCTTCTGGGAGCCCCAAGACACTTCTGTCCCAGTCTTCAGTACTAGAGAATACTAATTAAAAATAGCCATAGCACTGGAAATAGGTTCTAAGAATACAGACCTCGATCTGGGACCAGTAGATGGCAGAATGGTTATGTCATTGGACTCCCATGTAATCGTCCATAGTTCGAGTCCCAGACCCAGCGGCTTAAAACTCATGCCAGGTGCATGTGCATGTGTGCCCAAAATCCTGAGGGGAGAATAGAGGAAGAGGGATTACAGTGTGGCCATCCCGACTGGGAGGGTGATTTCTTGCTTTCTGTCTCTCTACAGAGCACACACCCCATATAGCAAAAATTTCTCTCGAAAAAAAAAAAAAAAAGAATACAGACCTCGGTCCAAACACCTTCACTGAAGACCAGGGCTTATGGTCCCTTCTATTTAGGGAGATTTTCTTCTCTTTTTGAAGTTTCTTTCTTTTTGAAAGAGACAGACAGACAGACTGATAGCCCCAAGAGATCATCACACTACACTTTACCCCTAACTTCAGCTAGCTCCAGATCATGGGCACATGCTTGGCTAGTACGTTCAGGAATTTCAGTCTGGCGCCTTCCCACGTAGGTCAAACTCAAAGAGCATCACATGACCATTGCACCTCTGTCGGCTCCCATGTCGAGAGGTGGTTTTTTCTTCTTCAATTGGAAAAGAGCTCACACACTTGCCAGAGAGAGAAAGAGAGGGAGAGGGAGAGAGAGAGAGAGACAGAGAGGCTCCCAGTAG